AAAAAAAAAAAAAAAAAAAAAAAAAAAAAAAAAAAAAAAAAAAAAAAAAAAAAAAAAAAAAAAAAAGGTTTTTTTAAGGAACTCCAAGAAGCCTTGTATTCAATGAAGATGAACTCTAAACTTCTGAAATAATTTATGATTTCATTCTAGTCGAACTTCCACAAGTAAAGATTCTTTGCTTTGTACTTTAAGGGATGCCTCCTTGGCAAACAATCTAGACTTTGCAGAACAGAAAAGGGTAGGCATTAAGCAAAATTAAACTTATCTAGCAGAGTTCCTCAAAGATTTCTGTAGCAGTATAGGAATAGACTGTTTTTGGCTTTTGAACCATCTTTGTCTTGAGCAGCACAGCTATAAGAGATGAGTCTGGGGATTTCTTCTTTGTGTAATATCAGACATATTGATGCCCGTTATCACTAAGTTTCACAGAACTTCTTGTCTTCTTAGGGCTTCCTTTCTGCCAAATGACTCCAAAAGTCTCTTGTTAAGAATGGTGTAAAATCTATTACAACGCACAACTTGTTTTTTGTTCATATTTGTATACGTCTATTTCTTCTGAGTCCTAGTTTTGATGGTATCTGTGGTGGCTTAGTCTATTATTCTACATTTATATTGTGTAACTTACTGATGTCATGGTAATTGTAGGTAAAAACTATGAGAATGTTTGTGAGATCTGCCACATTACTCTCAACAAAATTACAATATTTGGTGATAATGGAATTATCATACCCGGAGGAGTACGGGTTGGTGAGTAATGCTCTCATATACTTCATATTTTGGGCTCCTTTTATTCGAGTTTTTTTTGTATGCCTTTTTATTTATTCATTTTCTCAATGAAAACTTAGTTTCTTACCGAAAGAAATATCTTGGGGTATCCTATGTTTGGAGAGCTTAGTATGCGTTATAAATTGGCTCACTGTTATCCCTGCAGGCACCCCAGCTATGACATCAAGAGGCTGTCTGGAGTCTGATTTTGAGACAATTGCTGATTTTCTTCATACAGCCGCTCAGATTGCAATTTCAGTACAGCGAGAGTATGGGAAGCTACCAAAGACTTATCTCAAGGGCCTTCTAAGTAATAATGAAGTGGTTGAGCTCCGAAATCGTGTTGAAAGTTTTTCAGCTCAATTTGCAATGCCAGGCTTTGAAATTTGAATGGTAGTTGCAATTGTTAGTGAAATGGACGACCATCCGTAGGCCTTAAAAAATCATAATTTCCGCTCATCATGCCTTCCATATAAACAATATATGAAGCTTCTCCCTCCTGGACTTGCTGTCTTCAAAATTGCTTGGTTGCTATTCAGTTGCCAGTAGTTCATATCATCTTATGGTTTGGAAGGTGTTGTAATTATCAGAAGAGCATTTGGTAATACCGAGCTTTTCTTCTGTTAGGCAGAAGGCATACAATGGATAGGAGCGTTATGTGCAGTTTTGTGGTGGTATCATTTTTTGGAGCAAATCAACTGAAGATATTGTTTGGTACGGGAGAATAATTAAATTCTAGTACTCTAAATTATCAGAGTTCTGGAAGAATGTTTTGGATCTGATTGTTTATGGCAACGGCTCAGGAATCATTTTGCCAGTTTGATATGTGATGATGTGGTAGGGAAGTATTCACAATGCTGATCAAGTTCCTTTGATCAGTTTCCATTGTGTAAGTTCTTGCTACATTTCCTTCATCATAAATTATGTTATATAAGTGTCTATTCATCAACCTAGTTCATTTCTCAGAAGGTCTAGTCGATTTATTTGTCCACGTTTGTTGATAGAAAATTCAGCTATGGTTCTTGCACTTATTTTCTTTTTCTCCCATGTTTGATAGTAGTATGATAATCGTTTCAACACTGCAGAAGCTGATGCAATTGTGATAAATAAATGCATTTGAGTTGTTTCATTAGTGTTTCTCGAGTTACTAACCCAACTTTGATCATGTTTAGGCGCAATTGACTCTTCCGATACTTGTTACCGTTATTTTGTCGTATTATATATATGATCATATAACACAGGTGCTACAGTTATAGGATAAAAACAGTACAGCCGATTTCATTTTTTTTTCCCCTGTGTTATGCAAGTCTTGTGCTGCTCTTTTACTTTTACATGTTGAGAAGGAAACACAACTGGGGTTGCCTTTTCCCATGTTGATTCTGAAGCTTTGGTAGACTGTCCTGGTGTCATAGGGGAAAAAAAACATTAGAATCATCTGGAGTACATCATTTAAGCTTAAGTTGCAGAAGTGTTGAATAATGGTTGCTTGAAAATGGACTTGGAAATTAGGTCCACTAAGAAAAAGTTCAAGCTGAATGGAGAACCTTGTACGTGCTTTTTACTTTTGACTTCCAGTTGCAAACAATCTTTTTTCAAATACTGGCATAGCAGTGGCTCTGCTTCCACTGCTTCATGTCTGGAAACTTAATTGATATAATGCTTTCATCTCAATGATGGGACTGGTGGACTTCATGGTTCTGCATGTACTATGTATTTGTTTTGAGCACAGTGCCACAGGTATGTTGGTTTTTGGACAATGTTCAAAGTTGTTTTTGTTAGTTCACTTGTAAATTTGAATCCTTCACACTATTTGGGCCCGAGTCCTCATTGGCACCCACTCGGTGTCCAGCCTCCTTCAGGGTCCAGCATCCTTGTTGGCACACCACTCTGTCCAGCCTCCTTCAGGGCTCAGCGTCTTCACTGGCACGCTACATAGTATCTGGCCCTAATACCATGTGTAATAGTCTAAGCTCACTACTAGCAGATACTGTCTTTTTTGGACTTTCCCTTTCGGGTTTATCCTCAAGGTTTTTAAAACATGTCTGCTAGGGAGAGGTTTCTATACCTCCTACAAAGACGTTTCCCTCATTGGCACTCACTCGATGTCTAGCCTCCTTCAAGGTCCAGCGTCGTCGTTAGCACATCACTCTGTGTCCAGCCTCCTTCAGGGCTCAGCGAACTGGCACGCTACCTAGTATCTGGCCCTAATACCATGTGTAATAGTCCAAGCTCACTACTAGGAGATACTGTCTTTTTTAGGCTTTCCTTTTTGAGTTTATCCTTAAGGTTTTTAAAACTTGTTTGCTAAGGAGAGGTTTCTACACCTCCTACAAAGACGTTTCCCTCTCCAACCAATGAGGGATCTCACGTCCTAACCAACTCGAATCATCTAAAAAGGTATGTTTGATTGAGATTTAATAAACTTTCTTTTTGTAGCTTCTACCCTAGGTTGAACTAACGAAAAAGAGAAACACGAAACTAGGAAGAGGGTAGATGCCAATCCAAAAGTTTTAGAACATAGAGAGGCATACATACAAGTGTGGTTGCGATCTTTATTTGTATTTGTTTAGTTCACAATGAAAATTACAAACCCTTTTCACCACAACCTCTAAAGTAATGTTCTCTCTTTACAATTTATATCATTATACAAACATAAGTAATGGAGCAAGAATCATGACCAAAAAGAAGAATATTTTGTTTTAGAATTTATTATTTTAAGAGGAAAAGGCTAAATTCATGGCCTTTTCTCTCTCATTCTCTCTCTGGGAGGAGTCTTTTCATAGCGTCCACTTTCCCATCATTAATTCACGCAATGATTAGTCATTTACTATCTCAACTACAAAGAAAAAGAATCTCTACCAAAATTCATTATTCATTCAAAAAAATAAAATAAAGAAACAGAGTAAAATAATTAGGTAAAAGGGATTCGATCTTGTCAACTCTTTTTTGCTTTCGAAAATTGTATATTTTCACGTTTAGCACTATCAGAGGGACGAGAGTATTTGAACATTTAACCTCCTAATCAAGAGTATATGTTTGAACAAAATCAGGTTCTTTTGTGTTAATATCAATAGAATAGTTGGTGGAACGTATGTTCTAATTTTTGCGGTTTGAATGTCACGTTTTATATTGTATAAAACTAATTTTGATATGAAAATTATATTAAAATATTGACTTGCTTTAGGGAGAAGAAAATTGAAAGGCCTTTCTTCATGGGAGGATTATATTACACCTGATTGGAGAGATTGAAAGGGCCATGAAAAGGATCCCTAAATGTCATTGTCTTTGCCTTTGCCTATTTTCCATTTCAAATGCCCTTGTGGGCAGGGAGGAGTACCATCATCATCCTCTTGTTATACTCTTTTGAGCTAAAACACAACTTATTCGATAGCTCTTTTGAAACGACGTTCGAGCAGCTCTATATACTTATTTCTTGATCTATACCATGAATGGACTCCGTTATTATAATATCTAGAACTGTTCTTAGTTTTAAAATTATAAAGTGTTCTTAGTGGTAAGTGCACAATTACCTTTATACTTTGTTTATAAAGTGTAACATATCGTTTAGCTATTTATTGGAATACAATATCGTGTATTGGGAATTATCATGGGTTTATAATCAAGAATACTATCTCCTTTGTAACGAGACCTTTTGGAGAAGCCCAAAGCAAAACCACGAGAGTTTATGCTCGATGTGGACAATAACATCCTGAACGCTGTTTATGCCATTGTGGAGAGTCATGTTCAACTAACATCCTGAACGCTGTTTATTAATTTGTTCTCCGTTAAATTTTCGTTCGCTAATGTAGAAATTTAAAATCGAACTTGTATATGAAACTGACTCCTTTTCTCTTCAAAGAATCTTTCTTTTTTTTAGTGCAAAAATCTGCATTTCTCTCTCCCTTTTTTCTTCTGGATTTTGCTCTGTTCGCTGCTTTTCTTCAAAGCAATTGAAGAATCAATGCCTCTCTCTCTCTCTCTCTCACACACACATCCATTAAACAATGTGACTTCAAGAACAACACAAAAACTTAATGAAAATAAACAGTTCTGCTTCAATTACTCTCTTTTTTTCCAAAAATTTCAATACATTCTTGTTAAAGTTTGCATCTTGAAACATACCCAGATGCTGTTCTTTCTCTCTCTACCTGTTATAAGTGCAAATGTCTAAAAGCTTCTTTCTTCCCTCAACAATTTCATCGAAGAAATCATCAAGCTCTCCAACAATGGCGTCCACCCCACTTCTCAACGCCCCATTCCAACTCTTCAACTTCTCTGCTTTCTCTTCAATTTCATCTTCTTCTTCTTCTTCTTCTTCCAATGCCTTCTCGAGCTCTGTTTTCAGGTCATCCATGGCTGCCTTTGCTTCTCTGAACTCAAACAGCAGGATCCCCACTGGCTGCCCTTCTACTCTGTCTATCTCATTTGCCACTCTCTGCCTCAATCTCGCCATTGAAGCTACAAAGCTTGAGCTGAACATGGTTCTTTGATGGTGATCATCTTCATTTTCAATCCCATCATTCGCATGGAAGCTGGATTCTGGCCAACAATACACGAGAGAACAGAGTAAAATCATTAGAAGCAATGAACTGATACTCTTTACTGCATGAAGAACGCCTCTGAATCCATTGAACGCATTTGACTTCGACGTCGATCCCATTCCTGTCAATGCACTGTTGTCGTTGAAACAAAGCAGTGACAATGGCTGAATTCGTGTATTCATCAAGATTCTATTCTCCTCCTCTAACACAAAACCATTCCTCTCCAAATCATAAATTGCACGAAGAACCTTCAAAAACAGAGGAAAACAGAGTAAAACAGAATAAAACAGAGCAAAACAGAGCAAAACAGAGGAAACCCAGAACAATATACATGAAAAAGAACAAAACTTTAGAACCAAACTGAACCCAATTCAAATCGAAACACACCCTTTGAGAAGCGCGATGATTGAAACGAAGAAGGTGAGGATCCTGCAAAGAAGAAGCTATGGCAGAAGCTTCAGAATGGTAAAGCTCAATCCTTGAGATGCCGGATTTGAGGACTTGACAAGCATCCCAGAGACGGGAGCTGTCGTCCATGTACTCGTCGAGCCACTTGCCTCCAACGGGGAGGTGGAGGCGGTGGCCGAGCTGAATAAGGTGGGAGTGGAGAGCTCTGAGAAGAGAGAGGACCTTGTGGAGAAAGTGAAGGGACATGAAGTCGGAGGAGAGGAAGGCATGATCAAGGTCGTCGAGCTGGTGGGAGAGGAAGTGGTAGAAGCCATGGAGGGAGGTGGCTGTGCAAGAAGAGGTACCCATTTCAGAACAGAGGATGTGTGTATGGTGGGAAAAGTGAAGAGATTTATATGTGATGGGGAAGAATCATATCAAAAATTTTGAATTTAATCCTTCAATTTAAAAGCTCTAGATTTGATTTTCTATGAAGATTATGAAATCGTACCACGATTCCGAGATTAAATGATCGTTGCATTTAGAAAATTTTACTAGATTTGGATCGATAATAAATTTGAATACGACTTTAAATCCGAATCTTTGTAAATAGAGCATTTGGATTACTTATAGTCGAATACGAGACTTTCTTTGTAAGAACTCAGCTCACCGGTAGTAGATATTGTCTTTTTTGGACTTTTCTTTATGGATTTCTCCTAAAAGTTTTAAAACGTGTCCGCTAGCTAGCTAGAGGTTTCCTTATACTTATAAAGAATGTTTCGTTTCTTTCTCCAATGGATGTGAGATCTCATAATCCACCCCCCTTTAGGGACTCAGCATCCTCGTTGACACACTATCGGTGCCCAACCTCCTTTGAGGCTCAGTGTCGTTGTTGGTACACTGCCTAATGTCCACCTCTTTCAGGGCAGGGTCCAGCATCCTCGTTGGCACTTGTTTTCTTCTCCAATCGAGGTGAGATCTCACATTCTTACTAAATATTAAATAGTTGCCCTGATTTTTTGTGATTCTCATACGAGGTTGTGACCAGTAAGTGACGAGCAGGGTAAGAAGCCAATCATGGGTGACTCGAAAACTTTATGTTTTGATATTTAAAACATTTTCACTTACGATTTTTCAAAAACTCTCATAATTTATAAAATTTTTATATTTCAAATCTCGATCAATTCATAAGCAAAAAAGTTAAACTTCATGTTACTCATCCTAAGTTGTAACTTCGTTTCTAATATGATCATAGTTCAAGTGAACAAAAAACGCAAGTCATTCTAAAATCTATCTAACGATCAACCCTAAATCTACGTGCCTACGACTTTGTTTCTCGGAAAATTGGAAGATTCTGGAACATGTCACAAATCGTTCTAAAACCCATCTATTTTAAACGTCGTAAAACACAACTAATATTTCTTTGTTACCATCTCGTTTTTTCTATGATAGCATTAACAAGAGCGGAAAAAAAATCCGAATCCAAATCTTATAGGCCAAGAAAAGTTTTGAATTATTGAAATTAATTTGGTTTAGATTTAATATTTAAATAAATAAATAAATAAATAATCCCTTTCAAGTAATATAGACTTGAAATCCAAATAAAATGATATTAATAAATAGAATCATTGCCTGAAACTGAAAGGGAAAGGTTTGGTCAGAATTTGCAAAATTTAATTAATTTATTTATTTTTTTAATAAAAAATTAAAATATATTTATTTATTATATTATGTGTTGGATTATGTTTTCTGAGCTGTACAAGTTTGACCAGTTTGACTCAATGCTTTCTCATTTTTCTATATTGATTTGGCAATGACTTGGCAGCTTTTTCTTTATGAGATTTTTTTTTTTCTTTTTTAAAAAAAGAGAATTAAATGGAAATTATATAAAAATAAAATAAAATTAGGGTTTTTCTGATCTAGGCCCAACATTGTGGGTTTAGGGTTTGGAATTGGGATTGTTTGTTTGGTTTATAAAGGAAGAATGATATCATGAGGCCCATGTCTATGTCTATGTCTATAATGGCTATGGCTGTGGCTGTGGCTGTGGCTATGTCTTTGCAATGCACACAACATATATAGCCTTTTCCTTTTCCCTCTCTACCTAAACCATTTAGGACTTGGACCACTCTCCCTCATGTGCTTTTTTACTCTCTTTTTCTACGTAGAAGATCGAACCATTGATGTTTTATCTATTGAGTTATGCTCGGATTTACATGTATGTATGTATGAGATCAACAATAGTTGAGTGAAAGATCGAATCACTGACTTTTGAAATGGTAATTGATGTCTCATCATCCTCGAATGTACTTGTATGTAGATACTTCTTTTTCTTTTGAAAATAACAATGATTGAGCTAAAGATCGAGTCATCAAGGGGAGCACACAACCACTATGATATTGGGCAAGAGGTTTTGAAGGGAAGGTGACTAGTGCGGTTGCTACAACTAAATAACTCGAACCTGTAAATAGAAGAAAGAGTGGGCTTCTGTGGAAAATTTAGATTTTCTCAACCTTTCTTTTTTGCATATACTCATCTAAAAGCCACTGCGGTCCTATCCTATCTATCCCAACTCCGTTGCAGACATGATTGGAATTCCTTGAGAATTTCTTATTGGTGTTGAGCTAAAGTGTAGGGTAGGATGCCTTAGAGGCACCATAGAATGCACGGTTGGCAACAAAACGTATAAACGTCCGAGGACGAAAGAAAAGTGGACCTATTCTATTGGAATTTATGGAATGGTACTTAATATCCTGTTTAAATGAATTCAGCCAGATAAACATGTACGTACATCATACATCTCTTTTCATACTCTATTATGTATATGTTCATAAATAATTTAAAAATAAAATAACGTGGGTATATATATATGTTTTGTTAATATATTTAGACACGTGAATATGCACTTGAAGTCAACATGAGTATAGCTCAATTAGTCTTTAGTAACATTCAACTATTTTCATTGGAAACAAATATTCAGTACAAAAAGATGATTGGTGAGGCATTCCCTTCTTGTTTTTCTTGGGAAAATCCCCCCTTGGTTATCTTAACCTATTTGTTTTCATAGCCTCAGATTACAGAGATTCATCATTTGCAGCTATGAAAAGAAAAGCTTATCATTATCCCTTACCACATCAATGGAGTCAATTTCAGAGCCTTCTTCATTTGTCAAAACAGCATTTCTTGCATCAAATCCAAGCTTTTCACCTGTTAAGATTGCAAAAACTGGACTCAGGAACGAATCAATCCGATTTGGAACTAAAAGGAAAGAGCGAGTTTGAAATGACTTTTAGAACGATGAATATCGGTGAAAGTGTTGAAGTTTCCCATTAGTGTTACCTGCAACTCTTTTGAGCTCCTCCATTGAATGTGGCAGTCTGATGAGCTTTCCAGGATCTTCACAAGAAGCCTGTTTTCTGGCTACTGGATGGCCTTTGTATACATTTACTCTACCAAAGTCTAATTCAATGGAGTGTTTCCAATTGAAACTTTGATCCTTTTCTTCATTGAACGCTGGCGCTTCCTTTTCAACTGAACCTTCTATGGTGATTCTGTGGCTGGCCTGCCTTTCCTGCAATCGAGATTGAATTGGAGAACTATGAGCAGACAAATCGAAAAATTTAAACGTTCTTATAGACTTTTTAATGAAGAACAACTTCATTTGTTCTGAAAATAAGCTTCGCTTAAATAGTGTGAGATCCCACATCGGTTTGAGAGGGGAACAAAGCATTTCTAATAAGGGTGTGGAAACCTCACTCTAATAGACACGTTTTAAAACCTTGAGGGGAAGCCCGAAAGGAAAATCCCAAAGAGGACAATATTTGCAAGCAGTGGGCTTGGGTTGTTACAAATGGTAGCAGAGCCCGACACCGGGCTGTGTGCTAGCGATGACGCTAGGCCCCCAAAGGGGGTGGGGATTGTGAAATCCCACATCGGTTGGAAAGGAGAACAAATAATTCCTTATAAGGGTGTGGAAACCTCTCCCTAGTAGATGCGTTTTAAAACCTTAAGAGGAAATCCGAAACGGAAAGCTCAAAGAGGACAATATCTGCTAGCGGTGGGCTTGGGTTGTTACAAATGGTATCAGAGCAGACATTGGGTTGTATGTCAATGAGGATGTTGGGCCCTCAAGAGGGGTGGATTGTGAGATCCCACATCGGTTGGAGAGGGGAACGAAACATTCCTTATAAGGGCGTGGAAACCTCTCCCTAGTAGACACGTTTTAAAACCTTGAAGGAAAGCCTAACGAAGACAATATCTGCTAGCGGTGGACTTGGACGGTTACAAACAGAATCCAAGTATAAACTGAAAAATCTAGGGAATTTCAGTTTTAGTGGGACTTATACTCAGAAATTCAGTTCTAAAGAGAAATGGATATGAAATTATATAAGAACCTGATGGAAGTTCTTGACAATGACCATACTGTCGTCTTGCCTGACATGCATAGCTTCTTGTAGTATACTTGTTTTAAGCCTCAAGAGCTGTGAAAGAGTTTTGGTTCTGTATGTAAGATTTTGGTTTTTGCAACAAAGTGCTCCAACTTCCCCAAACATACTGCCACACTGTAGTGTCCCAACAATCCGCTCCCGCTCCATCTCACAGTCGATAATTTCGATTTCCCCGGACACGATGATATAAACTTCATCAGGGGTTTCGTTATGTATAATCACGTCCTCCTTCGGAGGTATATACTCAGCTTTCATCTTTGCTACCTGTCGAAATTTGTGTCATAGTTAAGTTCATAGGTCAGCTAATCCTAACTTTGTTTGTCAAGACAAAGAACAATGATGCTCACCAGCAATGCAAGTGTTTCCTTTGAGACACCCTTGAAGAGGTAGACTTTCTCCACTGTTGGCAAAAACAATTGCTGACAGATGTTTTTACATATCGACTTTGGAAGCTGATCAATCAGCTGTTGTTGGTTTAGGCTCTCTGCCTTGAATCTCAAACACATATATGCCAATATCTGTTCCTTCAATCTTGAAGGCAGCCGGTTTCGGTTAACAAAGTTTGACGCCATTTCGATGTTGTTTCTCTACAAAAACGATCGAACCAATCAAACATTTCATGTAATGGTCGAAGTTAAAACAATGGATATCAGATTTAGAAACTGATGTGGGTGCTTACAAATTCCATCGTGCGACGAGTTCCTTCGACGACTAAGTTCGTCATGTTACCGATCAAGTAAGCGGTTAAGCCGAGATTGAAGAGCATGTAGAAAATGATGAAGATCATCTCTACAATGTTCACAGCATGAAGATCACCATAACCAACAGTCGTCATGGTGGTGATAGACCAATACAAGGCTGAAATATATCTCACTCCAAAGCTAATCTCTTTAAAATTTGGATTCATAGTTCCTATCCAGGTCTGTCCTTCATTTGGATATCTGTCGGCCAACAAGTAGTAAAGGCATCCGGCACAATGGACGTAAAACAAAGTAACCT